GAGCTATTATTTCTTTGGGAACGTTGAATTATGCTTGAACGCTTTTGGGGGACTCGTGCATGAAAATACTTGTAATAGCTAAAAGCAAGTCTTTATCCGCTGTCGTCACTTCGGTAAACAACCTAATTTTCTCATACTTTTATCAATGCGGGAAATATAACTCGGGAAAAAAAAAACTGAGGAAAAACTACGTGTACAAGGCCTTCAATAACCATCGTCAGGTAGCCTCTCGAGTTATCTTATTGATTTTATACTACATAACGTCCACAAAATCAATACGAAATCGTGACTGAATATTGAGATGTTTCCTGCCCTGGCGAGAAGAAGATCTGCCTCTGTTTTCAAAGTTGAAACATAGCAGTCATAAAACTTCAGGTGACTCTTGATGTTTCTTCTGCATGTTTCCATCGCCTCACATAAAGCATTTGTCGGGTTAAAAACCACTGCATCCAAAAGGCGCTCCAACAAGTTCAGAGTAGCCACCCCCTGTCATTACGTTTACACAGCTGTGCAAAAGCGCACCATGGTACAAATTAGCGACGCAGAAGTAATCTGATTGTGTGTCACACGGGAAGACGTTCATTTCATTTATGTATATCGAAAGTGCCAAGTGATTGTATCAGTTATTGCATGCTAAGCGCTTGATGTTTGGTCGTGATTCCCAGACACTTGTGCACGAACAATACCGTTTGCGTAAATCTTCTCCCATCTAATAATGTGGGAAGCGTACAGCTTTAAAAGTAGAGCAACGTTACAAGTAAAAACACAATAACATAACAAGTATACTATGTGTTCGTACACCAATCAAGATGTAAAAAATTACCAGATTAGATAACCTTTGAAAGCTTATCTGATGAAGCCTGAAACTGACATTGTCATCTGATCAGTCAATGAAAAAGAGGAGGGGGTAAATTAAGCGGAAAAAAAATCCCCCAGAAGCATTCAAGTATAATTAAAGGTTCCCAAACAAATAGTACTGAGTATGAAGGAAGAGTGCTTGTGTTTATGGTAAAGACGCTTGCCCTTGCCGCCAGTCACGCAATCCTTACAGAACATTTAGATCAGCGGAGGGCAGTTAACGGCTGCGGCGTTTGAAGCGAATACACAATCCACGTTCCTGCACTAATCAAGATGTTAAAAAATTACAGACCACTGATTAGATAAGCTTTGAAAGCTTATCTGATGAAACCTGTAAAATGTCAATAGATTAGTGAATGAAAAAGAGGATGGGGATGAATAAAGGGAAAAATTCTCCCAAAATGTATTCAAGCATACTTCAACGTTCCCAAACGAAAAAAACTAAACAAATGTTGATCAAAGTTAACATTTTATTCAGATTGATAACGATATTTCGCTCCCGAAGCGGTTTGTTATCTTTTCCATGTGCGCATTGTTGATTTTTCACCTTCAATTGCGTGACAAGGAATGGCGCCTTTTGACCTCTGAGTCACTTTTGTTTGGGGTCCTAAAATTTCGTAGTTTGAGTAGCCCAAAACTTTTATTGGAGTTATTCGAAGAAAAAACCTTGTTCTCTCGCTGCAGTAACTTGATATAACCCCATGCCATGTACCAAGGTGCGATTTTACCCTCTCCGTTTTGCCATTCAGTTCAGTTTTTTGTCCGCCAATATGAGTGAAATATTAGAAAAAACCAAAAACTCCCTAAAAATTTCGATTGCAATGGAATCGAACAAAGAACACTTCAGACTGTTTGTAAATACGTGTTCTTTTTATTAGGAAAATATTTGGTCACTTTTGCTGATTTGTTTACTTTCAAGCGACGTTCAAATAATGGTTGTCTAAACCTCGTGAAGCTGACGTGAGAGCCACAAAATCGATTTTGCCGCCGTTCGCGAAAAATAAAAATGCAATTGAACTCAAAGTATTTTTTCTAGAAACAGTTCATCCAGACTTAAATTCTGGCAAAGTTTGGGGATTTTCGATTTTTTCATATTACGTGCCTCCGGGCGATATTTCCTCCGGGCGGGATCTGCACCGACTATCGTGAGATTATTTTAACGGTATCCAGTGATACAATGAAATGTATGGAGTTCATATATTTTGAACTGCGGTATTAGATACGTATGATGCACGATCCTCGCAGTAGATAGCGCTATTTAAGCAATAGCGAAAATCAGACCTGAAAAAAAAAATCAGGAGCCTGATAAACTGAGCCCCTCGTTTACCATAACTGGTGGCTTACCTCTCTTCCTTTCTGCTTCCCATGCTCTTCGTTCCTCTTCACTATGTGCATAGGAGCACCTCTCCCCTTGAAAACAAGGCTGCTGGAAGTGGTAGTACTTGCAAAGGCGGTAGGCGCCAAAGACAAGACGTGGTCTTTTACGAATTCCGTTGCCTGTTGCGCCTATGCTTACTCCTGCTTTTGACACGCCCTCAGTAAAGGGTTTAACTTGAGCGACTGGTTTGTTCGTTACTGAATGCGCTGGAGCAAGAGGAGGCCGTTGTACCACAGGCGATGGTTTCTGCTGCTGGTGCTTGCCTTTTGAAGATGACCGGTCTATGCTTGGAAGTTTTGAAGGGGATTGTACGGTGCTCATCGTGCAGTCCAGGCTATCGGGGCAAGTTCGAGTGCTACAGACACTGTCTGTATCGGATTCATCTTCATCATCAGCTGGTCACAGCATAGATGCAAGAGTTAAATGGATGCATAACTGCATGTACTTGCGCTTGAAATGGTGAAATCGAAGCACACCATTTCTACGGTCTTAACACTTAGTTTACTTGAAAATATCATATCATAAGGGACATGATACTACCTTCACACGGTGTGTTCATATGCCTTTCAAATACTTCATAAAAGCTCCAGGCATTGAGAAACTCGTATTTAAGCTTACTACCTTGAGATTAAACGGCGACTCATGACCGAACGCAAACGAACCCGATTTCTTCACTAAGGACCTGTCATTATCACTCCACTAGAGGAGGGGGGAGGATTTTGGTGTTTTCACAGTAAAATTTACGTGATCCTCCTGTAGTATTCTAATGATCCCCTGATTGGAAAAATGATCCCCTCTCCGTTCCCCCTGAAAACTTTTTGATCTCCACAAAATCCTCCGACACCCCACCTCCCGCCCCCCCCCGAGTAAAGGCCAACCCAAGGCCTTCTTCTGAGCGACTGCGTTGTGACAAATTAATCCATTTGTTGCATGGCTAGAACAGGAAAATTCCTTATTGTACGATGTAAGTTTTTGCTTGTGATTGATCATGAGATATCTGCATACGAATACTGAATATTGACTTATGACAATAAACGCTAAAGCGTGGATTGGTCGTAACCTAACAGATGAGGAACTCCTCTGAATTCGAGTCGCTCAGACTTTACTAATGAGGAAACCACCGATGACATGGCTTTCTAATCTAACACACAATTAAAGGGGAAATCGTCTAGCCGCACCTCTCCGCCTGGTCTTTCTTCTTTTCTTTTTTTTCTTTTTTCCTCCTATAGGAGAAAAACCTGAAAAGATAATCAATTTCATCCTTTATTTTCCATAAACTGATTGTTCTTTTAAAACAGCTTTAAGTGTTCTCTCAGGTACAAATACAATGGCAATGATTGTGTTCAAGTTTTGACATGCCCTGCAATAGGCGTTTGAAAGTTCAAAGACAACTTTCTTATCTGTAGCTATGATTACAACTCTTTGCGTCTCGATTGGAGGGGTACCTGGATCTCCATAGAAATGAACTGCAAGTCCATTGCAAGGTTACAAAGCGCCTCATTTTAAAAGCTTGCTATGAACCGTTCATGCTCGTCGAGGAAACTTAGTCAACTCTGAGGATAACGTGTGTCGCCAAGAAATAGTAAAAATCTGACGCTTTCTAAGATTAAAAGCTGAGTGATGATTGATAGCAAAAAATGACGGTCGCTCTCTTATGAACAAATTCTTACGTACCGGGAAATTCCTCTTTGGTTTCACTTCGCTTCTCTTGTGGATTAAAATCAGCTCTTGCCTGAATAAAAACAGGAAACCCAAATTGTTTAAATTTTCCACACAGATTGCTGTAGTGCTGAAAGATTAAGTGCTCCTGAGTTTTGTCATCACGTAACATACCGCTTTGTCTCTGTTTTCATTTCCTTTCTTGAGTGTATTCCTTATCCAGGTCTGAGCTATTTCTTGCCGCTCCTGGATTATAAAAGACAAACTCTAACGTGTATAAAAATGTCTTCGCTTTTTTATCTGTTTAATAATTTATTACAGTGCCTGTGAAATACTTTTAGTAGTTCTTTCACTGCAGCCTTTTTTATTAGTGAATAACGGAAATTATTACACGACTCGGGCAGTCAGAGAGCCAATAACTAAAATCAACCAATCAAAATGCTCTATTGCTGGTCAATATTCGCTCAGTATTGGACCGGGCACTGTCCCGAATGGTCCCGAAAGGTCCCGAATGGTCCCGAATGATACCACACTTGTGTCCCTTTGAACTTCAGTCGTATAATAAATCAAGTATTAACCAAGCTTGCTCAGGACCGTACTGGAAGAATATCGGCCCTCGCGCTTGGTTAATTAANTTCACATGGAGTTTTGACTCATTTATTTTGTACTCACCAGTAAGGTTTTGAAATTATATTCTGTTATCTACCGAATGTGTGGTTTCAGGAAATCATTCTTTCATTGATTATTTTAGCTGAGAGTGATCCCTAATTTCCACCTTTAAAGTTTAAAAGCCGTACATTTTAAAGACAGTTTAACATCCCTAAGCATATTACGTCATTTACTTAATCTTAATTGTATAAGGCAGTCCACTAGTCGTGTTTTACCTAGCGTACTGTATGTCATAAAGTTAAGTAATGGTCTAGCACTCATATTTTGATATGTGCCATTGTTTTCTGAATTATGATTATTGAATTTATGGCAGAAGAACCCGTTCCATTTTTTCTGTAGCCTGAACTGGTTTTCATTTGTATGGTGCTCGGTTCATCAACAGCCTCATGATATTCTAAACACACTTGTTTTAGTATACGGTATTTAAAGGGGAACTGAAGCCTAAAATTGGTATATTGTTTGCATTCATTTCTAGTTAGCTTTAGAGGAGTAAGATAAAGTGTCGATATTCATTTTCGTTCACTTCTTGTTTTTTACGAGAAAATTCGATTTGAAGTTGCCTTTTTCCCGCTTTTGGGGCTGTAAGACCGTCGGCTCAAAATAGGTCAGCAGCGGTCGTTTATGACGTCAGTGGTGGGGAACCAACTTAAGAAAAACAACTGTTACTATTTCATTTTCGTAGTTAATCCCCATTACAAGTCACGCAACTTCGATAACTCCATAACCAAACCAAATTTCTGTAGGAAGAGTACGGGTTTATTATCTTTCTTCCCCACCAGTGACGTAAGAGCGAGCTAAAATGACCGCTGACATCGCTTTTCTGAGCCGCCGTACTACGAGGCCAAAATACCACTTTAAACTATTTTTCCGAGGCGAAGTTGGGCCCAAAGACTGAAAAAACCCTCGAACATTGCTATTTCAACTGTAAGATGCAATTTTTAGGCTTCAGTTCCCCTTTAAGACAGCTATAGATCTGGCCCATACTGGCACTTACAGTATCAAAGTGTATGTTTGGGATCCCTTTGGTCAAAATTTGGGTTTAAATTCTACCATTGAATAATATATCATTCAAAAAAGCATTAATTTTCACTGGAGCAGACTTTCCAGCTCACCGTGACGTGCTTGGAGGCTCGGTATTGGGGTCGTTTGTTTCCTCTGTTAGGCTGTACTTCTTGGCTACACCATTGATCAAAGGACTTAAACAAAAAATTAGTAGAGTAATGTCAGTATCAATAACTGTTTCAACCGATACCTTAACTTAACATCTAGCATTGCCAATTGCTTCGCGACCAAACACTGTACTAAGCAATCGAAGAAAACTTCTCATATATTCTTAGCATTTGACTCATCATCTTACGGGTTTATTATGAATCACCATCATGACCAGCTACCAGTTGGCTTGTTAGCTCAGTTGGTGGAGCCCTGCACTGGCATCGCAGAGGTCATGGGTTCGAATCCAGTACAGCTCTGAATTTTTTTCAGGTCTTAATTTCACTATTACTTAAATAGATATATCTTATTAGACGTTTTGTTGTGTAGTATCGCTGAGTTTTTTTACGAGTTGTGTCGTATTTTGACGAGCCCGAAGGGGATAAGTAAAAATATAAGTAAAAATAAGTAAAAATACTCAGCGATACTACACAACAAAACGTCTAATAAGTTATTTATTATCCAACACGCCAAACTGTTGTTTCTGCGGGCGAATTTCCGCGCGGATATTTATTTACGGGGAGTGCGTGACAGAAGTATGCGAAGCGCAACGGAATTGGCGCGTTGTTGTGTTGCTGTTTCTATTTTCTTCATTAAATGAAGATGTTTTTCTTCGTTCGATTCATCAAATGAAATTAGATCTATATTTGCCAGCCATTCTGACTCTTCGTCGTCGGAAATATGATTGAAATTGTCCGCCACTTTTTTTGTGTGTAACTACAATCCAATTCTTCGCTTGCGCGATGCGGGAAAACCAGTTTAACCGGTACTACAATAGACGAGTACAAATACCGCGTGATATTTGTACTCGTCTATGGCGTTTTTTGTACTCGTCTAGGTGTAGTTGGATAATAATGCCCCTCACTGCGAAGATCGTTCTCATGTGCGTTTCTGTAACTGCAGTTCAAATATATGATTCTCATATATTCTTAGCATTTCAAACTAGTTTACTTACTGATTGTGCTCGGCTTATCCCACTGGTTTGTTTATCCCCAGCCATCTCATCTCGTATCTGTCTTTCTATGATGTCAAGATCAGTATTCTGCAACTAGAAGATTAATCGATTAAAGTATTTGTAACGCAAATTGAGAGCAAACTCAAATATAAACTTATGAAGCCATTCTAAGCTTCAAACTCAAAACAGGCAAATCTCTTGAGGAACAGGCAACCACGGTCAATTGAATTCTTGTTTTTGTACAATTCACACTTTGCTCTCTCAAATTATTCTCGCCGCTCAAGGGGAAGTTATTCCTATCACTTTTTTTTTTATAAAACTTTCGACAAAATGGTTAATTAATCAACAATTAAACAACAATTTAATCAATTTCATGTTCGAGAAATCTTAAGCTTTTCTCTCCCCACTTTTTTTCCCTACAGATTTCACTTAAAGTTTTTTCTTTAAAAATTCGCGTAACCCTTGTTGTTTCCTCAGTAAAAGTTTGCGTAACACTGGTTGTTTCCTATGTTTCCATTTACGATTCTAGGGTCCGCTTTTCGAAAATCCCGTTAACTTAAGGGGCCAGCTGAAGCCATATCTTAAAATCAAAATTTTAAACATAGAGGCGCAGGTTCTGACACCCTAACCAGTCAATTTTGTTTCTTTAGCTGATAAATGTATTGTTGAATTTTTTAAAACGTTTTGAAACCCCATCTTGAATGGAAGTAGAACAGCTTAATAGGCCCGTAGAGTTACGGGACCTTCGAGAAACGGGCAGGAAACTGACGCATGGATCCATTTGCGCACGCCTTAATTTGACCGCTGTCTTCCGACCTGTGTTTAGCTCACAGCGCTGGTCATTATCTTTAGTTAATTATAGGACAAGATTAACCTGTCTCACCTCAGGATCATGAAGCATTCGCCATTCGTCGAGAAGTTCAAGAGCATTTGAAAATTCTCCACGCTTCACTTGGATTTCTATCTTTGTACGAAGAGCCGTTATACTTTCACCATTAGACAGATTAAGGGCTGATAGAACAAAATATTGACTACAAGGTTAGTCATTAGAACTGTCCCTTGCCCTACAGGGAAACCATACCATAAAATACTTCCCAGATATTCTATAAAGGCTCACCTCGATTGCAGTCTTGCGTTGCTTGTAAAAGTTTACCCTATAGACGGAAAAAGATTCCAGAATCAGAATTTTGGGAATCCTCAAGTAAAAACACTTTCTAGTATCGGGAGTTACCCACACTACTGCTGTTGGTAGCTATCAAAAATCTAAAAATTTTCACAAGTTATAGACTGATTCTACCGGGTAGGGGTGGGGAACGCTTGTCAACTCGTCTAGGGTGCACCTGGGATAAAACTACCATAGTTTTAGTCGTCAGTGCAAACAAAGAAAAGAAATTGAAAACAAAAAGCCAAAAAATGCAGAAAAACGACATTAAATTTTATCAATTTCTGATTCACTTGTAACCTGACATGTAAAAAGAACAACAGTATATGAAAACTACTACCTTTGTTTTGAGCCAAGTCTACTCTTACCTGAACGAGATAACATTGTGCCCGATATTCGAGTGCCATCTGTATTCCTTCTGCTTTAGGTGCAAGATTAACCATCTCTGTGAAGATGCTCCAAGCTAAGTCAGTTTTGCCGTTTTCAAGAAACATCGTCCCTTGCCTCATGAGGATGTCAACGGTTCTGTAGACTTGGTGTTCTCCCTGAAAGGCAAGTCATGCAATACATTGTTTGAGATCGTAAAATCCAATTTTAACTTAATAGTCTATCAAAAGTTTTCGTTCGAATGCGATAGGTTCAAGCGCGTCGCTTGACCTAGAAAGCCCTGAAAAAGACAGGGGAATATCAGATGATATTCCAGAAGGGATACTGGCCAATTTTCAAACCTCACGGGCGCCTCGATGAAAGTCTTTCAAAGATCGGAGAGCGCTTTGCTGTTGTTACCAGGAGAAAAGATAAAGGGCCGGTTATCAAAACAAAGTTTAGCCGTTGTTTAAGATAACCGCGTCCTAAACAATCCTCAATTTAGCTTGACCTTTTACCTAAACATTTATTTTTGTGAACAGTTTCAATACGGCTGAAAGCTTAGAGTGAAAGGACATTTATTTGATTACATCAACCTGCTTATAGAGAGGCGTGCTGACCTTGTGGTTGGTGCGCTCGACTCCGGGATCGAGTGGTCTGGGTTCGAGCCTTGACTGGGGACACTGTGTTGTGTTCTTGGGCAAGACACTTCAGTCTCACAGTGCCTCTCTCCCAGATGTTTAAATGGATACCAGCAAATTTAATGCTGAGGAAACTGGAGTTCAGCGCCGGCGGGATGGGTCTCTTAGCCTATGTACAGACTTTACCCCTTTTACTAAGAGAGAAAGCCTGAGGCCCACTAATTACGTAAAACTGTGGTT